GTTCCCCGCAGTCTTTGTTGCTACCAGCACCGGCTTTTTCGGCAAATGCTTTTAGCTAAACAAATTAAGACTGGCCGCCAGAAATGTCAGAAAACATCTCCTTAAAATTTCAGATTTTTAGCTTCCCTGGTTCCTGAGTTAGCAACTTACTGGAAAAAAGACTTTCACAAAAACTCTCGCATACCCGAGAGTTAGATTTGAGCTGAATGAAACTTAGGTGGACGGGGTATATCCTTTTAAAATTACAGTCCTTTAGCTTCTGAGGTACTCGAGTTATCAACTTGCCCAAAAAAAAATTTGGCGGGCCCGTACACTAGCACTATGCTTACCCGGAGGCTGAGTTTGAGCCCACTAATACCCACTTGGACGGGGAACATCCTCCTAAAATTTCAGCTTTCTAGCTTCTCAGATCCCCGAGTTATGAACTTACCCAAAAAAAAATTTTGGCGGGTCCGTACGCGGTCACCATGCGGGTAATGGCGCCAATTTTGGGGATTGGGGCCAATCAAGTTCCCAAAGTTTCAGCCCTGTAGCTTTTGTGAGTCTTGTGATGAAAAACCGTGACAGACGCACACACGGACACAAAGACACACACACACAGACAACCCCTCATCAATATGTGTTTTCTGCATTGCATAGCTGCAAAAAACGCACAATAAAGCGTGAAAATAGTGTGTGAATTTGTGAAAAAACCTTGGGTAAGTTCGAGATACGGTGCAAGAGTTTTGCGATGAATTGGTACACGAAAAACGGAACGTTCCGGTATTTCGCCTTGCAATAAACTTATCACAACAATCCATTTCTGCACCTGCAAAAACTCCGCGTTCTTATTTCTGCTAAAAAGTATCTCGAAGCTTTAACTGCTGGTGTAGCATGTCCGTCATGGCTACTGCGCTTGTTATCTGGCGAGGTGTCTGCCCGCACAACAGATAACATTCGTCCCTTGCTACTTTGAAAACAAATTTACAACTGCACCACATTCCCCAGCGTCGCTTGGCGCCCCTGCATTGATCTAATACATTCTTTGCAAAAAAGCTTACGTTTTGTTTGAAGCCAATAGCAGCATCCTGTGGAGCTTTCCGAATTGCTTGCATGAAATAACCGGCAGCAGCTGTATAATTCAACTGCATTGCTTTAATTCTACCTTGATAATACAAAAACCGAGCAAGATCATTGTTCGATGCTCCTTCCGGAAACGTAACCTAAATTTCCAAAAAAAAAATGTAACAAGAAAATATAGAACCACCCCCCTCCCCAAGATCATCCGAATGTAAGGATCACAGAAAAAGGTCTACGACGCATAGCATGAAGTCACGCCATAGTGCTGTTACTGTATCTGAAGAAAAACCATCCTAAACTGGTTAAGTGGTAGATTAGTTCCGCATGCCCACAAATTACATAAGTTCAGCTTGTTTTAAGCACAATTCTCAGAAGAAGAGATCATCTAAAGGCTGTAGTGTCATTAATGGCGGTAAAGTGTGGCCATTCCAAAGTGAAAGTTAACCTTTGAAACGAGCATAGCAGCAGCTTCATAGTGCCTTCCAAGTAAATAAGCCCGCAGAAGGCACACAATCAGCACTGCCTGTGAATCGTACTGTCGACGAAGTGTGGCTGTACGTAAACGGCCATTCAAATATCTACAAAAAAACAATACACCAGTAAGATGGAAGGTTTTATCTGAGCACCAACATGGAATTATAACGGGTAGAGTGAAAAAGAGCCAGCAAGCTGTTATATGGATCGCCAGGGACAGTAAAATTGCACTGCTAATGTATATTCATACTGACGGCACAACTCTGGTACTAAAAAAGATTAATTAATCGCAGAAGAAAGCTGTTTAAAGAATTTACTTGTAAAAAGTCATACGAATATAGAATCAGCCGTAAAATGCATCCTTTTCCCTAGTTATACAACTGATAACTTCTTCAGTATTTCTAACTAACACTGCATCGATAGCCTGCTGGCAATCCTAACGTTCGTTTCGTCTTCTGAAGGGCACACTAGCTCAACGGCTTTTTCGAGAAAGGTCTCTAGCTAGGCCTTAGTTATTTCGAGATGTCCTTAGCGTGTGTGTGTGTGTTTGTGTGTGTGTGTGTGTGTGTGTGTCTTTGTGTGTATTCTGAGTATCATTACTTCAGCACGTACGATGCTACTCCCAGATCGGGACGAGATATTTTATCGGCTGGGAGAAGATAGCAACAGAAGCCGAAGGGGTATTCAAACAAGCCCGAAAACGGTAATGTGGACTCACGCTCGTAGTTGATCCAGTTTATTTTTCGTTTCGTAAATCAGGCATAAATAGAAATATGCCTTTGCGGCAATCGAATCCAGCGAACGCTTCTCGTGGTAGTCGATTCGAGAGATGAGCATTTCCACGCACTAAAAGCACTAAGTGTCCTGATTAACGAAAAGGCTACATCTCAATGACATCAGAAACTCAGTAGCGACATCCCGGACGATTCACATCGATTTTATGGGTCATCCTGAGAGAGAGCTTCACACTAACAATACAAATGACCTCCGAATAGAGCCCATACCGAATAAATTAAGTGACCGGCCCGTACTTATATAAACAAAATGATCGCCGATGAGCTCTAAATCCGAAACGACTGCGAAGATATCTGGATGTACAAAGTTCGGAAGACTATCATGTAAAGAGACCCTTCGGACGATTATCACAGACTGAGAAAGAACTGATGGCTAAAATTGCCGAGAAAAGCAAGCGAGTAGCGTTACCAGTAAGCAGACTGCAGTTGCTAGAGGTAATAAGATTAGTTTTCAGAACTTTTATTTCTTTTTCAAATTTTATTCAAATTTATTCAAATTTACAATTTACAAATACAAAAAGCCACCTTTTCCGCGTCGTCC